GTGTGATGTTTCCTTTCCTCTTAATCATTTGGAATTGATAAAAATAAGATATTCAAGATCATAATCTAACTTTAGATTAGATTACTACGTGACTATATGTAAGTATAATATAACTTTTGAAAGTGATACGATTGTTTCTGCCAATGCCAATTAATAATTCAAAAATCTAGAATTAATCTCGGCTTAGTAAGTCTTGTAATTTTGACTTTTTATACTTTCTTGTGTGGGAAGTATGTGAAAGAAAACCCAGTTCATAATGTTTGAGGGTTTGCCATGGCTAGTTGGCTTTATTTATATTCTTTCCATTACTAATCAGTCATTATAATGTGCACGATTTCCTAGTTTTCTAGAGTTTAAGAATTAATTAGCATGAAATTTGGTTTAAGATATACAGAATATGAGGAGGATTTAAAATATATCATACAATTTTCTATGAACGTACTATAATAACAACTTGAAATTTGAAAAAAAAGAAGAAAAAATCAACAAAATATTTCTAGTAAAGAGGCGAATATCTTATTATAGTTTAATAGTCTAACTATAATTATAACTTAACCACTTAAATTGGTCTAAAAGAGCATAATATAAATACCAAATATGGTGATAATGGGTGAAGAAAAGTAGATGATGATTTAGCTCAACAATCTTCATTTTTCATGAAAAGAAAACAATAAGTTTAAGTTTCTATGATATATCGAGTTTCAAACAATAAAATTATTATTATTTGTTTTGGGACAAATTCTTTTTGTTCCCTATCATAAAAAAAAAACATATTAATTACCATGAATAACAAAGGAATAAGAAATCAAAAAGCAAAACACAGTTGCTGATCGCAAATCGATTTCCAAAACTAACGGGCACACCACATAAATTTTGAGAAAGCCTCCTGCCTTTAGAGAAATGTCTGATATCGCCACCAAAGATCGAATACATTATAATCTGCAAAATCACACAAAAAATTGATTAAATCTCAAACATTGCAAAAAAAAATGATAACAATTGCAAAAAACATTACAAATGTTTAAAGCCAAAAAAATGATGAAGGTAATAGGTGTCTTATATAGGAAATGAAAATTAATAACTTGACATTTAGGGTAGCTGCAAATGAAGAAAAAAAATCTTTCAAAAAAAGCTTTTTGTTATCTACAAAGTTTAATCATTTAATTAGTAAATATTCGTTAATCACTCACTTTTGTTGAAAATTTCCTATATTATCGTATTAGTTTCCAAAATTTAATGATTGCAATTCTATATATATCTGTAACTAATTGTTAATTTATTTTCTTGTAAAGATTTCGAATATACTTTTTTATTATGGAATATTCGTGATAAATAACGAATTCAGTTTAAATTAAAATATTTCTGATAAATAATGTTTGAATTTAAACAAAAATTGAATATTAGACAATTTAAGGTTTACGATTATTTAGATATTTTTATAGTATGAAAAAATATATAAAAATGAATTTTTGTTTATTTTCCAGTGATTAAGATAGATGGTTATTAGTTATATTCCATATATTGTGTTGTAGATGTAACACATAAAAATCTCTAACATCATTATTTGCATAGACCATTGAAAATCTCAAAAAGAAAAAAAAAAATATATATATATACCATTAATATTTCTTGACATTAATCACTTTATTTGAAAACATTATGATTTCCTTTCGATTCAATGCATATAAGGAAATAAATAATTATGAAAATTGAAATTTGGAGTTATTATTATACTCCATGATTGGTTGATTACCATATTTCAACTAAACTAATATATAACTTATAATTAGATGGTTTTGGATTTTTAATTCGAAATGTTCAGATCACACAGATTACTCCGCACATTAAAATCTCAGACTAATAAAATTTTTTTCTGAAATTATGAAAATGTCATTAATGAAATAAGCGGGTCACGAACCGGGTGAAGAGGATCCGCGCGTTTTCAATAAAAAAATCATATCACATATATTTAAGAGAAATTAAGAAGTCTTTTGGCAAACAAAATTTCAAAGATGCTATGGAAATCATGGGTGAGAACTTCAAAACATATCTTATAGTTGTGATTGAGATTGAGAATGTTGTTTCTGTCACAAAATTGTTGATGCTCTTCTTCTCTTTCAAACAATTTAAAAGATGAATACCTTCTTCGAGAAGGGGTATACATTCAATTTGCCTCATTTAATTAAAGAAACACAAGTTAAATTAAGCTATCTGAACATGAATATAATTAGAAAGCGGAATTCGACATAGATAGATGTATCAA